ATAGATTTTAATACGGAAGCAATTGCATGCCCAGTATGTGGGTGTTTTATTTCATGAATAGCCAAAGTGATTTCTTGGAGCTCAAAATAAGAATTAATCCATGAACAAGATATCCACTATTGCTGCGAGAAGTCCAAAGATCTATAGTTAGTCCACAATAACTTATTGAATTCTTTATCTTACCTTTAAGAGTAGCTATCATCCAATCATAAGACATATAGATTCGAGTTTTAATACCTTTATCACAAGGTGTTTCATAATATGGATTAAGTTTTTTTAGAAGTTTTATAAATGCTGGATTTTCTAAAATAGAAAATGACTGCGAATCAGATATGAGAAATTCAATTACTATTTCATCGACTTGCTTTTTATATTCAACATTATTTTTAAACTGTTGACGAAACATTTCATCAAATGATAGATGAGAAGTATCTAATATCAATTTGCCGAACTTCGTAACTCCATGTATACTTTGAAGATGATAACTGAAATTTCCAGTACTACCATCTGTTTCAATAATATGATTACACATTGTGCCTTCTTTTGTCAACTCATTACACTGGCCTTTTGATCCGCATTTAGTAGGTAAGATTGTATAATGATCCCAAACCCAACTTCTTTTCTTTGAACCTCCTCTTTTTTTAAATTGATTATTGTCCACCACATCCATTGCATTTGTATCATCCATATTATCTACTGCATTCGTATTATCTACTGCATCCGTATTATCTACAGCATCCGTATCATCTACTGCATATGTATCATTCATCGCATGTGTAATATTATTATTCGCACAACTCAGAGAAATTTCACTTGAGGTTTCGCTTGAGGTTTCGCTAGGTAAATAATCTTCACTATCCATTATTATGATATTACAATTATGAATAAGTTATGTAAAAAATTTTTGCATTTAAAATACGAATTTATAAAAAAGAATTCTTTATTCATTGTTACGTATAAAAATATATCATTTATTCATGCCAAAATATTAATACGTCATCATTACTAATCGAAGTATTAGATAGTTTAATAGATATTTTAAAAAAATTCTCTAATCAAAGTTATATGTTACGTATAAAATATATCATTTATTCATGCATCATTATTATTAATTGAAGTATCGGATAGTAACGGATAGTTTAATAGATATCCGACTATCTGCAGAAATATTTTCGTTATCCGATATGAACGGATATCTAATTGAAAATCCGCTGAATTTTTTGAACGGATCCAAGCACTAC